GCAAGAAACTGCTCAACAAGTGCGCTGCCTCGGCCGCGGAGGAGAGCGGGTCCGGCAAGAAGGAGAAGGTAAGGCGCCCCTGGGCCCCTTCCAGGGCCACTGTGCCCGTGGGGAAGCTGAGGCACTGCCTCGGTATCCAGTCCCTACATCTACAGCTTCTTGCTTGGACCCTGGGGTCAGGGCTCCCACGTTCCTTCCTGATTCTGCCCCCCTCCGCGCACTCCCCCCCACTGCCCCCAGCACGTCCCCTCTCTGAGCCCACAGCCAGGTAGGTGCCCGCTTCGGAAGTTGCCTGACGAGAAAGCCCCGCCCGGCCTTGCCCAAGAAAGAGACACCCAGCCAGCCCTTCCCGCCCCCGAGGAGGAGTAAAGTCAGAGTCAGAGCTGTCCCGGACTTAAAAGAGCGTTTCCTCTTGTCTATCTTTACTCTTCCCCTCCTCCCCCAGCCTATTGATGGGAAGCCGGTCCAGAGCTGGGGAGGGACTCGCCCCGTCTTACGCCGCATTCCTGGCGGCAGATCCGGACCGGCTGTCTCTAAAAGTGCATATGTAAAGCCCAGCGCTGCCCCACCCCCGGAGCCAAATGCGGGCTCTCTTTTGTGCTGGAGCCAGCTTTTCCGGGAGGGGGTCCGCCCTTCGGTTCCGCTGATAGGAGACCCACCCCTCCAATCCTCACCTTCCGTCCTGACCCTACTTCTACCCCACACTGTCCGGGGTGAGGGGAACAACTCGGTGACAACCCTCCGTCTTACATATCAGGCCATCTTGAGTCCCCCTTTGAAGCAGGCCAGTTAATTACAGCCAGACTGGGCCCTCTCATCCCCTTCACACTTTTGTGAGCCTCCCCTTCCCCATAAAATAATACTTGTTCCGTCTTCTGGTGCAGCGCAGTGTTTTGATTACATCTGAGGCCCAGTGCCCTGCTGCGGCTGTCAGGCGGCTGTCCCTCTTGTAAACTTTTGCCCAGGCAGGGTAGGGGGAGGCTGATAAAGAGTGTGAGTTCCTTTTAGGACTGGATGTCCAACCAGGTGGGAGACAGGCTCCTACCTGCCAGCTGGTGCTTGAAAATGGATCTTTTTTGTTTTTCTGTGGGGAGGAGTCAGGGGTTGCCCACTTTTAATTTTTCTGCCTGGCTTTCTCTCTCTGAGGTCCCAGGTCCCCGGAGAATCCCTTTCCCAATTGGTCTGCTGAAGACAGCATGGGCAGTCTGTGGTGGACCCCACCTCTCCCTGGGGTCAGTTGGGGACCACACCTCAGGAGCATGGACTTTGGGCTTCCTAAGCACCCAGATGTTGCAACTAGATGACAAGAAGCTAGTAGCCAGGTGGCCACCCAGATGCTGCTTTGGGGAAGGCGAGATCTCTCTGAGTCTCCGGGATCGTGGGCTTGTAGTTGAACTGTAAGGGGAACAGGAAAGAGGCTCCCTTCCACCTTATGCATGGTCCAGGCTTATCTAGGTGCCGACCTGGGAGAACCTAACATTCCTGGGTGTGGAAGGTGCCAGGAAGGCCCAGCCTAGCTATCAGGAGAGTCACAGCCAAAGGTGCTGGACTCCCTGAATCCGCCTTGTTACTCCATGGCCACCTGCCAGGTCGGCAAATCTCCTTTCTCTCCCGCTGCTTGTCATTCTGCCTACTCACTAAAGTCTTCCTTTATGGCTTTCAAACTTTAGTAAACATTTTTCCCTACTTACAATTAAGACTATGTCAAATACTGAGGAATAATGCTTTATAGCTGGAATGTCAAGTGTGTTGAAGACTTGGCTTCATTCTGCCATCAGTTATTTCCCATGGGTCTTCTTGTGCCCTCTGTTTCCCAGTGGTAAGCGGCGCCTCTAGTTGAATGCTGTGTCCCAGGCTGAAGTGTACATGATGACTTGTGATGGGGCTTTGTGTTACCTGGGGCTGAAGGGGAGGGGTGGTCAGGGAGGGCCTTTATCATGGGGGAGGGGTGTTGGCCTTGGTTGCAGAGGAAAGCCTGGTGGTTCAGGGAGCTGCGGGTAAAGTTCCTGTAGCTGGAATTGAGAGGTGAGAGTTCGGCAGGGCCCCAGTGGGATGGCCGTGCTGGGGTCAGGGAGGTTAAGCACAGTGAGGGCCAAGGAATGGATTTAGCTGCTAAGTGATGTGAGCAGATATAATTTTTTTGGAAAAGATCTCTGGGCTGCATTTCACCTATTGGGTTGTGACTTCGAGCCCTTTGGTCTTTTGAGAAGTTGTTCCCATTCCATCTGCAGAGGAATTGAGGCTACCAGTGAGGAGGAGGGGAACAGCCAGGGAGGGTCACACTAGACAGTGGTTCTCAAATCATCACCTGGAGGGTTGGTCAAAACACAAATTGCTTGGATCCATCTCCCACAGTGACTGGTGCACCGAGCCTGGTGTGGGGCCTGAGGATGTGCATTTCTGATAAGTTCCCAGGTGATCTTTTGCTGCTGATCCTCAACCCACTTTGAGAACCACTAATGCAACAGTGGCCTCTCCTTAACCCTCCCTCGGGATCTTCTGGTCTGAGCTGTTTTGGGGATGTAGAGACACCGGATGCCCTCTGTGTGGGACTGCCTCCTAATCTGGGGCCAGCATCCAGCCTGGTCAGGCAGCCAGGAGGCAGCCTGGTTTTCACATTATTTTTAGCCAGACAGCTTTTGGAGGCCAGGCATGCTGTAGATCCAGCCCTGAACACCCCAGAGCCTTCCATCTGCCCCTCATCCATGGTTCCAGGAACACCTACTTCTAGCACCCTGCTTAATCTCAGGCCCAGCTTCCTTTTGTCAGTTGGACAAGAACCTATAGGGTTGTTGAATGCTCCCCTGTCTGCCAGGCCTGGTGTTTGTTTTTAACATTAGACCTGAGTTGAGAGTTACTGTGTATGGCATGGAGTAGAAGCTGCCAGTCCACAGATCCTCCCTTCAATGCTTCTAGTGGCACGCCACTATAGTTTATCTGCCCTGCCCGCCCCCCGCCCCCCCTGCCTCCCACAGTATCTGTGCCTCCTTCTGTCACACACTTAGGCATCCTCCTATTCTCCCAGGTGAGTCCTGGGGCACACACACACCTGGTCACCACCACCACTAGCATCATGGGCATTTTCCCTTTTACAATCATGTGGAAGAAGGACTGTGTTTTCAATGTAACCAGCTTTTACCCAGCACTTCGAATGTGCTCAGAGATCTCTTGGTACCAGGGTGAGTTAGGAGGGGAGGGAAGAAAGGCTGCAGAAGACTTGTCAGTAATCTCTGGCCTAAGCCACTGGAGGAGACTGACACACTGTCTCTTCATCATTTGTCTCCCAGTGTTTTTGTCTTGGGAAATTTAACAAGGTCTTCACCTAGGAGGCAACTTTGAGCTGAACCTAGAGGTGGAAGGGGAATTTCATTGCAAAGAAAGGGGTGACTGCAGCCTGCAGGAGCACTAGTGTGTCAGTGCTGTGTGTGTACACGTGAATATGAAAGTGTGTCCCTATGTATGTGTGTGGTTATATATGTGTGCGTACATGTAAAACCTCAGGGAGGAGCTTCTCGGAAACCAGAGCTTTTTTGTAGTGGCCTCACTTGGGGAATGAAAGATGACAACATGAGAGAGGTGGGGGCCTGAGTTTGTACCCACCTCCCCCCCAGGCGAGCCCTTGAAGACTGTTGAGCTAGGAATGGGATGGATTTAGTCAGAGCCATGGTTGGGGAGCATCCCAGGCTATATAAACAGCTGCCACAATCTGGGGAAGTTGGGGTCAGAGTTAGAGGACAATTGCAGTATAGTCCAGGGGAGAGACAGTGAGGACCTGAGCTCTTGGGAAGAGAGAACAAACCTTTAGGAGGTGGAAATATTATTCCTTCAGGTTGTCTGTGTTAAAAAATGATGATAGCCCGGCTGGCCTGGCTCAGTGGTTGAGCATCGACCTGTGAACCAGGAGGTCACGGTTCAGTTCCCCTTCAGGACACATACCCAGGTTGCGGGCTTGATCCCCAGTGGGGGGTGTGCAGGAGGCAGCCAATCAGTGGTTCTCATCATTGATGTTTTTATCTCCCTCTCCCTCTCCCTTCCTCTCTGATATCAATACAAATATATATTTTTTTAAAAAGATGATAAAAGAGGCCAGTAACTTGGTAGTTCTTTTGGGCAGCCAAGCAGTTCTCATCCAGTTGTTTTCTGCTGAAGTCTTGTTTCTTTTATCATTAAGTAAATGTTTCCACCACAGCTGAAAAAGTCAAGACGCATCATGACATCAGTTTTAAATACATGCTAATGCATACCGACACTTTATATTTTGTCGGCATCCACAGAGTTGAGTTAAATAACATGTTTCCTAAGGAATAAATAATATCGTGTCTAACCTTTTTTTTTTTCTTAAGAGAAAAAAACACACATTTAGCAAACAGTTTCTGAGCAGCCTGCTAGGCAGGGGGACGTCAGAGAAAATAAATGGTGGCCAGCTTTCAAAGACAGAAGCATCTCTGTAGTTGAAGACGCTCAGTTTGCAGCTTCTCAGGGACTAGCCTGGGGGAGAGGTACAGCTAATGAGACAATATCACGACCCAAGGAATGCTAGTGTGTGCATAGGGCTAGGAGGGCTCAACTCTGTCTGGGAAGTCAAAGAAGGCTTTCAGGAGGAGGCACCATTTGAGCTGACCCTGGAAGGGTGAGTGGGAATTCCCCAGGCAGGGACTTGAAGAGGAAGGCTCTCCCTGCAGAGGGGATAGAATAGCTGTGCTCAGGCCTGAAGGCTTGGGAGAGAATGGTTGGAGGCTCAGCAGGGCCGAAGTGGTGGGGGATGGCAGAGGGAGGTTGGAGCCACAAAGGGAAGAGACTGTCTCATGTGCCTTGCTGGGAAGTTGTGACTTGTCTTTTGGTCCTTTTCACATAAAATCATTGATGTGTGGCTTGATTGACACCAGGGCAAACATGAGTTGTCAAGTCAGTTCCAGTTGGTTAATGGTCACAATCTCCAGTTCTAAGAAAGTAATTGACTGAAAAGGTTAGAGCCATACTTGGTAGTTGTGGTTTGGCTTGGGATACTTTCTCCTTTGAAGTCCTATCCTTTAAAAGTAATGTGAGAGAAATGCCTGCATATCAAGTC